TGAAAAAGAATTTATTTGCACATAAAATTTCTTCGCGTTTGAAATGCCAAAACACATAATTAACTATCCTAACTATTACAGACATTCCCTCCTGGGTGTGAAACACAGAAGAAAGTGATGATAGTGAAGCCGATCACATCCCAGATATTTGGGTGTGAAACTTTTTGTTCTCGTGTGTCCCTTTGCGCCGTCGCCAGGGAAAATCTTCATCATTTAACTAGATGCTCGGGTCAATATTCACTGTAAATGGAGGAATTTCATCAAACTTTTCATAATCTTCTGACATGTCTGTCTTGTCATCCACTCCCACGATGTTTCTTTTTCCTGAAAGAACTATGTGGCACTTTGGCTCGTCGTATGATCCATTCACTTCCTTATCTTTTCTTTTTCTCGGCCTGATAGACATGTCTTTCACATAAAAAACCTACGCCACATCATTGGCTAGGACGAATGGTTCGTCTGCATACGCAATATTGTTGAGATCCACTGTTGTCATTCCGTACTGCGGGTCTTCCGTTACCCCGCCTCGTGTCATATTGACCCATTTGCACCGAAACAAAGGGACCTTCAAATCACCTGATCCATAGTTAAGTTCCCATATGTCTTCTATGTAACCATAATATGTTTCCTTTCCCGTGTTGGTTGTTGCATCAAAGCGGACACCACCGTTTTGGTTGGTGCTCTTCTTATCTTGGGCGATCGTGTAAAATGTATTCCCATTTATCTGGTACCCTTTGAAAGTCATTATATTCGAAGATGGTAACTGGGACAGCGAGTACAGGTCATTTTGAATATCGCCATCATTCAGGGCACGTTTCTGCAACCAACCGGCGAAAGTCCTCGTTTGTTCGCGTGTAATCCAGTCGTCAGACTTCTCCGGGTGTTTGGACTGTAGAAAATTTTTGTGTTCCTCCATATACGGAGCCACCAAGGCGGAATTCTGTAGAACTTGTGTAGTGTGCTTCAGTGAGAGAATGCCCATCCATACATATTATTTGATGCCCTCCTAGCGTGCCTTTTCCTTCCAGTCTGCCCTTATGCCGCGATTCAGGAACACCAATCGGCTTAAGGTCAGGAATAAAGTCAATACAAAACTCAATGACCTCCTTATTTTCATGGCCCTTCGAGATGCTTCCTTCTGGCCTAGCACGGTTATGAACATATTTCTTCAAAACTTCCATGAACCTTTCAAAGGGGAACATATTGTGTAGAAATACAGGACCCAAAACGTTAATCTCTTCGCAAAGGTGAACTAGGACGTGCGTCATGAAGTTGAAGAAGGATGGTGGGAACACCAACTCGAAACTGACAAGACATTGCACCAAATCATTCTGTAACCTTGGTATGATTTCTGGATCGATTACCTTCTGAGAGATTGCATTGAGGAACGCACATAGCTTCACAATGGCTAATCGAACGTTTTTCGGTAGAAGCCCCCTCAATGCAACCGGAAGGAGTTGCGTCATAATCACGTGGCAGTCATAGGACTTTAGGTTCTGGAACTTTTTCTCTACCATATTTATTATTCCCTTTATATTCGACGAGAAGCCAGATGGTACCTTCATGCTGAGCAGGCATTCGAAGAAGATTTCCTTCTCTTATTTGGTAAGAGCGTAGCTGGCCTGACCCTGATGTATGTCGTCTTTTCCGTGCATACGTTTCTGGTCCTCCCGTGCATCTGGTGTATCTTTTGTCTTCCCATACATGCCCAAAAAGCCAAGCAGGGTCACGCAAAGATTCTTCGTCACGTGCATCACGTCGATTGCGGAGCGGACCTCTAGGTCTTTCCAATATGGCAGGTCCCAAAATATAGATTTCTTCTTCCACATGGGTGCGCGTCCGTCAGCGTCCTTCGGAATAGGTTGTCCGCCAGGACCCTTTCCAAAAATTACCTTCAAATCCTTGACCATATCATGTACATCAGCACCAGTACGGTGGCGAGGCTTCGTCCGGTGATCCGCCTCACCTTTGAAATGCTTGCCTTTCTTTCTTATGGGATGCCTGCTCAGAAGAAATGGACGATGTCCCAGGTACACATTCTTCTTACAACTATTCAAATATATACTGTCGGTATCATCCAAACAGTGCGTGCATCCGTGGTATCCCTTGTTTGTGTGTCCTGAAAGGTTACTGAGAGCAGGCCAATCATTGATGGTCACGAACAGCAACGCCTTTAGGTCAAATTCTTCCCCCATGTGCTCATGCCATGCATGTACACCTGTTCCATTCCACAGTTGCAAGAGTTCTTCAACTAATGGCCTTAGGTACACATCAATGTCGTTGCCGGGTTGCTTAGGGCCTTGGATGAGCACTAGCATCATAATGAACTTCCGCTTCATGCACAACCAAGGAGGAAGGTTATACAAACATAGAGTCACAGGCCACGTGCTATGGTTGCTGCTCTGCTTCCCAAAAGGATTAATGCCATCTGCGCTTAGACCAAACCATACGTTCCTTGGGTCACCTGCAAAATCCTCCCAGTACTTTCTCTCGAATTTTCTCCACTGCGAACCGTCAGCGGGTGCTCTCAACTTTCCGTCTTTCTTACGGTCTTCTGCGTGCCACCGCATCGCCTTCGCATGCTCTTTGTTTTGGAACAAACGTTTCAACCGTGGTATTATAGGAGCATACCACATCACCTTGGCAGGAATCTTCTTCCTGGGGCGCTCACCCTCGACATCACCAGGGTCATCGCGACTGATCTTATAACGCAATGCACCGCATACCGGGCAAGCATTCAAATCCTCGTACTCACCGCGGTAGAGGATGCAGTCATTAGGGCATGCATGTATCTTTTGCACCTCTAACCCTAGAGGGCAGACAACCTTCTTTGCTTCATACGTACTCTCGGGCAATTCGTTGTCCTTTGGAAGCATATTCTTTATCATTACCAGCAACTTTCCAAATCCCTTGTCAGATACACCATTCTCTGCCTTCCATTGCAGCAATTCAAGTGTGGTGCCCAACTTTTTTTTGTCAGCTTCGCAATTCGGGTACAACAATTTCTTGTGATCCTCTAACATGCGCTGCAACTTCGTCCTCTCCAGATCACTTGCGCAGTTTCTCTTTGCATCGGCAATGGCCCGACCTAGATCATCAGCGGGCTCATCTGCTGCCTCTTCTTCAGCTTCTTTCTGCATTGCCGGCTCAGCTTCTTCCCCCATTGTTGTATCATCGTATTCAGGGAACCCATGGCCAGGATAGTCGTCGTCGTCCTCTTCTTCTTCATTGTCTTCCATCATAACTCCTATTTCTCCGTGCTTGGTCCAAACATTATAGTGGGGCATGAAACCGGACTCAAATAGGTGGACGTGAATGGTTCTTGACGTAGAGTAACTGTGACCATTCTTACAGCCAGCACATGGACAAGACATAAAACCATCCGCCCGCTTGTTTGCCTCAGCGGCAAGCAGAAAAGTATGCACGCCATTAATGAACTCGGGAGAGCATCTGTCATCATACATCCATTGTCGGCTCATCTTCATTACACAGCACCGAATAGACCAAATTAATACAAGTTCATACATAAAGTTCATATACAACACTTAATTAAATGCAACATACAAATAACTCTCTAGCTAAAGAATTTAAATGCAACAACAAATGCGATGAAAATCGCAATTAAGGTAACAATTGATCCAACAGCATAATGATACCAAGCCACACTATCAATGGCATATTTTCTAATCTTTCTAATCTTCAACCTCATTTTCTCCATCTTGATCTTGTGATCATCGACGACATCGGCAACATGCAACTCCAACTCCATCTTCTCCCCCTCAATTCTTTTTAATTTTTCTTTCAAATACTCGTTTTCTCTTTCAACTAAATTTAACCTCTCGACAATAGGGTCGGTTGGAATTTCCGGTTCACATACCTCCTAGATAAAAATATCTATGTCAACTTGATGGGCATAATTTGTCATAAACACGAAATGCAACAACTAGTTTTAAAAGAGAATATACCACATCCGAATCATAACAAGGACGAGGGTCGACGGGGACGGATATCAAAACCATGGCACTATGTATAACAAACAAACGTACATGTAAGATAATTATACGAGTAACTATATATCCAAATCACATAAACATCAATTTGGTAATGTAAAACATTCATGAACAAGAGCCTCACCAAAAGGTGGTGCCGGCGACGGGATGGTGCGGGCGATCGACGGTGGTTACGACGGAGATTTAGAAGGCACTAAGTAAACCACACCTACATATGCAAACTAAGTGTTATAATTATTCCTCCCAAATACTAGCAAATATAAATCAAATACTAGCAAATATAATTATTCCTCCCAAATTAATCACTATACAAAGCATTGCAAGAGCTAATCTAGCAATGAGAGTTGAAAGGACAAAGTTGCTAACCTTTGTGATCATTTGAATGGATGGGGGCCTTCAAATCTTGACAAATTTTGGGCAAAATTTGTGAGGAGCTCGAGGAGAGAGGGGGAAGAACAGAGGAAGTGAGGGGAAAGGGGAAGAACACAGTGGCTCGGGGGGACGAAGGGTTTATGTACGTCGACCTTTAATACCGGTTCGTGCCACGAACCGGTACTAAAGGTGCTGGACGGGCCCCAGACTGACAACACCCTGCCACCACCCTCTTTAGTACCGGTTCGTGGCACGAACCGGTACTGTAGGTTCGCCACGAACCGGTACTAATGAGAACGGCCGGCTAGCCGTTGGAACCGGCACTAATGGACACATTAGTGCCGGCTCAAAACCCAACTGGCACTAATGTGTCTCATATTAGGTCCTTTTTCTACTAGTGTAGGTAACCTTTCCAATCAGCTCCAATATCTATACTTTGGGGAAAATCAACTAACGGGAGAATTTCCTTCCGGCATAGCAAACCTTCGCAACCTCGTTGTTGTATCATTGGAAGTGAATCACTTTACAGGTGTGGTTCCAGAGTGTATTGGCACTTTCAAAACTTTACAGCAAATAGGTTTAGGGGAAAACTTCTTTACGGGGGTCATCCCATCATCCATGTCAAACTTGTCTCGTTTAGGAGGGCTCTATCTACGATCAAATCAATTCACTGGCCACATACCACCAAGCTTTGGAAACTTTCCGATGCTTCAATATTTGCACATCTCTAAAAACAGCCATCATGGCAAGGTTCCGATGGAGATCTTCAAAATCCCATCAATAATTGGAATTGTCTTATCTTCCAACAAGCTTGATGGACAACTTCCTGCCAACATTGGCAATGCCAGACAACTTGTATATTTTCAAATTTCGACAAACAAACTATCAGGAGATATCCCAAACACTCTAGCTGGTTGTGAAAGCTTACAAGACATTGAGTTAGACTCGAATATGTTCAGCGGAAGCATTCCGACTTCGTTAGGCAACATAAGTAGCTTGATATTTCTGATTTTTTCTACCAATAACTTAACTGGGTCAATACCAACATCTCTTGGCAACCTAGAACTTCTCGTGGCACTTGATTTTTCATTCAACCATCTTATTGGCGAGGTTCCAACTAATGGGATCTTCAAGAATGCAACTGCTGTGCAGATTGACGGAAATCAGGGGCTTTGTGGTGGTGTAGTGGAGTTACACATGCTACCATGTTCTGTTCTGCCTTCAAAGTCAACTAGGCACAAGAAATCTTTGGTGCTCAAACTAGTTATCCCAATAGCCAGTATGGTGTCACTTGCTATGCTGATATTTGGCATACTGCTTTTGAGAGGAAAACACAAGACACAATCTGTATTGGTGCCATCATTTGCTACAAAATTTCCAAAAGTATCTTTCAATGATGTAGCGACAGCAACACAGGGATTCTCAACATCCAACTTAATTGGCAGAGGGAAATACAGTTCTGTATATCAAGGAAAACTAGGAGAGGAAGAAAATGAGGTTGCCATAAAAGTCTTCAACCTAGAGACAAGAAGAGCACACAAGAGCTTCATTGCAGAATGTAAAGCGCTGAGAAATGTTCGGCATCGCAATCTGGTGACTATCCTAACCGCATGCTCGAGCATTGATTCTAAGGGCAATGATTTCAAGGCCCTGGTCTATGAGCTCATGCCACAAGGAGACTTGCATAAACTGCTATACTCGACTCGAGATTATGAAGGCTCTTCAGATTTGAACCACATTACAATGGCCCAAAGGATGAGCATTGCGGTGGATGTAGCGGATGCATTGGAGTACCTACATCACAACAACCAGAAAACAATGGTTCATTGTGATTTGAAACCCAGTAACATTCTTCTACATGACAATATGACAGCTCATGTTGGAGACTTTGGCCTGGCAAGATTCAAGGTTGCTTCCACAGCATCATCTCTTGGAAACAATAACTCTTCTTCACTTGCAGTAGTGGGAACGATTGGATATGCTGCTCCAGGTAATAATATTTTTATGTCTGGTGTTGCTATATTTTTCCGCATCTATGTTGACCAGCGAAAGCGAAATTGACTTGTCCTTTTATTCATTGATCTGTAGAATATGCAGGGGGTGGTCAAGTTTCAACCGTCGCAGATGTTTACAGCTTTGGTGTCGTTCTCCTCGAGATATTCATTCGAAGAAGGCCAACTGATGACATGTTTACTGATGGACTAAGCATTGTGAAGTTTACAGAGGCCAGCTTTCCTGATAGGGTGTTGGAGATTGTTGACCCCCAGCTACTAAAATAGTTGGATTTTTTTTAGAGAGGGGGGGGGGGGGCTCCCCGGCCTCTGCATCAGAATGATGCATACGGCCATAAATATAAGTAAAAAGGTTTTACAAAGCCTGAAAGTCTGGAAATGTAAATAGAGGGAAGCTCACACAGAGCCTCGATGCAAACATAACAAAGGCCACAAAGCCACAACCGGCTGGCAGAAAAAAGATAGGAAAACTAATCGCCTATCCTATTACACGACCGCCATCCAAACCGGTTGAAGATATCCCGCGCAACCATCTCCCACCGGACAGACCCAGTAACCAAACGCTCCCTGGCCGCCATCGGAGTGACTAAGGACCACAAACGGATCAGCGCCGTAGCACGGAATAAAACCTGCAAAAAATGAATAGTTGTTGTTCTGTTAAAAGCCAAATCATTCCTGCAGTTCCAAATTGCCCATAACAACGCACATACTCCAACATGAATGTGTCCAGCGGTTTTGGACTCTATCCCAGCCAACCACGTTCCAAACAACGAACCTACCGAGTCCGGTGGAGTAATGTTAAAGGCAATTTGCATCGTGCGCCATAAGACTCTCGCCAATGGGCACTCGAAGAAGAGGTGCTTAATGGTCTCGTCCCGATCACAGAAGCTACACCTAGTAGAGCCTGTCCAATTGCGCTTAACCAAGTTGTCCTTTGTTAAAATAACTTGTTTATGTACAAACCACATAAACACTTTAATCTTCAAAGGAACTTTAACTTTACAAACATGTTTGGAATTAGGAATGACGCTAGAGTTAATGACATCGATATACATCGACTTAACCGTAAACACTCCAGACCCAGTAAGTTTCCAACACAATTGATCGGGCTGATGAGCTAACTGAACCTCCATCAGTCTAGTCACCAGATGAAGCCAAGCTTCCCACCTATCACCAATAAGCACCCAGCGAAACTGGATATTAAGGGGAACGGACTGCATAATCGTTGCAACCAGCGCGTCACGTCGTTGAACAATACGATACAGGGACGGATACTGTAACGCCAATGGTGTATCACCAAGCCACGTATCCTCCCAGAAACGGGTATTGTTACCATTACCGACGACAAACTTTGTTCTATTAAAGAAGGCGGCCTTAACTCTCATAAGCCCCTTCCAAAACGGCGAGTCTGTTTGTCTCACGGTCACCTGTGACAAAGTCTTGGACTGCAGATACTTGTTACGAAGAATCTGTGCCCACGTTGCGTCTGTCTCAACAGATAACTTATACAACCACTTATTGAGAAAGCATCTGTTCTTGACCTCAAGATTCTCAACACCCAGACCCCCTTGGTCCTTCGGTCGACAGATTACATCCCATTTGGCAAGTCTGTACTTTCTCTTAAGATCATCACTCTGCCAAAAAAATCTTGATCAGTAAAAGTCCAGCCTTTTCCGAACCCCAACTGGCACTTGGAAGAATGATAGAAGGAACATCGGCATACTCGTGAGCACCGAATTGATAAGAATCAACCGGCCTCCATAAGACATGAGTTTGCCCTTCGAGCAACTGAGTTTTTTCTCAAACCGATCCTCGATGCACTTCCACTCTCTGTTTGTTAGCTTACGATGGTGAATGGGTATACCTAGGTACGTGAAAGGTAAAACCCCTAACTCACAACCAAACAATTGCCTATAAGCCTCTTGTTCCTCCTTGACTCTACCAAAGCAGAACAACTCGCTTTTGTGAAAGTTAATCTTTAATCCGGACAATTGTTCAAATAAGCATAACACTAGCTTCATATTTCTCGCTTTTACCAAGTCATGCTCCATAAATATGATATCATCAGCGTACTGCAGAATGGAGACACCCCCGTCAACCAGATGAGGCACCAAGCCACCCACCTGACCGGCCTCCTTTGCCCTTCCTATAAGAATTGCCAACATGTCCGCCACAATGTTGAACAAAACAGGAGAAATCGGATCACCTTGCCTCAGGCCTTTGTGTGTCTGAAAATAATGACCTATATCGTCATTCACTTTAATTCCAACACTCCCTTTTTGCGTGAAGGATTCTACCTGGCGTCGCCAAGCTTCATCGAATCCCTTCATACGCAAGGCCTGTTGAAGGAAGGGCCATTTGACTTTGTCATACGCTTTCTCGAAATCCACTTTGAAAATAACCCCATCCAGCTTTTTCGTGTGGATCTCATGGAGCGTTTCATGAAGGACCACAACCCCTTCAAGGATGTTCCTGTCCGGCATGAAAGCAGTTTGGGTAGGCTGTACCACCGCATGCGTAATCTTTGTGAGCCTATTAGTCCCAACCTTGGTAAAGATTTTGAAGCTAACATTCAGAAGACAGATGGGCCTGAATTGCTCAATTCTCACAGCCTCTGTTTTCTTAGGGAGAAGGGTTATCGTCCCAAAATTCAACTGGAAAAGCTGAAGCTGTCCAGAGAAGAGATTATTAAACAGAGCAACAGATCCCCCTTAATAATATGCCAGCACTTTTTATAAAACTCTGCCGGAAAACCATCAGGGCCCGGTGCCTAAAAGAGTTGGATGAAACTCCAATAGCCTTCAAGGAAAAACATGTACATTGTCTGCTATCTGTGCTAAATGTTGGCCTTTGCTGCACTAAGACATCCCCGGGCGAACGCATCAACATGCAAGAGGTAGCTGCCAAGCTACATGGAATCAAGGATGCATATCTCAGAAGCAGTGCCGTTGCTTCAGTAGCAGTACCTGAATAATTAACTTGTTTGTGCAATTTGTTGTGTTTATCACGCACAATGCAAGCAAGGACCGGCCCAACTAGTATTGAATAAGTATTGCCTCTGATGTGTTACAGCATCGGCCCAACTAGTGCACTCAGGAAAAAATAGATGAATGGAATTTCCATGTATCAATATTATTATCAAAGGAATATGTATTTGAGTGTTTTTTTTTGTCACACCTAACAGCTTTAACTTTGTTACGTACACTTCGGCAAAACTAACCCTGGACTAAATATGCCTGACAGGCTAACACCATCCGAGTATGCACTTGATTTCCCAGCAACCATTCACCCGATACATATATTCTTTGTGTGTTCATGGAACTCTCTCCACCCTGGAAGATATAAGAAAACTAAAGAGAAAAACATGGTAGTACTATTCGAGAACTAAATCAACCTCTGAATTCTCTAGTCTCTCCATTCTCCTTCATTTATGTTCATTATTTGCAGAAGAGAGTCTCCTTGGTAGCGTTCCCGGTAGTTGTATTTACCCTGGTGCACATCAATTGCAAAAATTAATAAGAACTACGAATGTTTTCATCAGACACAAAATGGAAAATGGAAAGTGAGTGATTAAATGGATGAATAATTCTTGAATATTGACATTGGCCGGCTTTCCTCTTACCCATCAGCAATTTTGCAGAGGTAGTCCCGTTGGTCGTCTCGTAGTGGAACATCGGTAAAATCTGCAAAGGGAAAAATGATAACAACATGACCTGGTGATGCCATAATGCATTAATACAAGAACCTTCGATCAACTGCAATCCTATTCATAGATTGTGATTGAATTGAAGTATTTAAATTTTCCGTTTTGCTCATTTTGGTTCAGGATGGTGTGGCTAGAACATTTTTTACATTAGGAACAGAGGTTTTAAGATGATGGCACTGTGACATTAATCACATGGTAATAATCCCAATACGTTGAGAATTCAGGCAGGGCTTGGAGATAAACAGTTAGCACTTGCCTGCCCCGTATATGTTGGAACCTTTGAAAGAAGTGTTCCCTGTCACAAGTGCCCCTTCCAAGTTGGCATTGGTTAAATTTACCTGCAGAAAAGACAAGCCAAATCACAAGATCGCGGTAAAACCATTTCCCAAAATTAAGGCAGAGCGCAATAATCAATTAAGAAACAAAAGAAGTACTACTAGTCTGATGCTGTGATGAGGAGACAGGAACAACATACTAAGTTCTGTGTGATGGTCATTCAACCGAATAGATAGTTTCCAGCAAAATTCAGGCCAGCTATGTTACCGCTTATCCTGAACCCAACGGTTACTGTGAAGGAATGTACCTTTGTTACATTTGCCAGCGAGAAATCGGCGTTTCTGAGGTCAGCGTCGGAGAGATCAGCGCCTGAATTCACCATGAAACAGTCAAAACATTGCGATATCACTATGGCTTCAGAACTTGACACTTGACTGTAGGCAAGCATCACAACAACTAGTGTCTGTTGGAAGCTGGAACAACTGAGAAAATCAAGAATAAGTGCAAACCCGTAGGTTGCTACCTGTCAGGTCCGCATCAAAGAAGCTGGCGCCGAGCAGGTTCGCACCTTTGAAGTTGGTCTGCCGCAGGATAGACTGCAGAAAGAAACGCAAATTCAGATAAATCGTCAGAATTCAGAAATACTCTAAACATTCAGATGTTCTGTTCTATCTCTACATGCCAGAAAGTTCAGTCAGAACTTGCTGTTGATATAACCGCAGGAAGAAATTCGAGGCATGATCGCATCATCACGAGTGAAACAAATTGTAGGAATCGATGGGAAGGGGAGGTGAGAGTAGTTAGGTACGGTCTTGAAGTCCTGCTTGATGAGCGTCTGGCCGCTGAAGTCCTTGCCGGTGAGGTCCTGCCCCCGCGTCACCTGCTGCCCGTACGGCCCGCCTCCCTGCATCCACCCACCCACGCACACGCCATTAACGCCGCCTCCATCGCCTCGCCACCACACTCGGTCAACCGGTGCAAATACAATAGAACTAACCCTGAACGCGAGGGCCGGGTCGGCGAGGAGGAGCGAGGCGGCGACCAGCGCGGCGGCGCCGGCGTTGGCGACGTGGAAGTGCAGCGAGGAGGGGGCGCGCCACGCCGGCGGCTGCGCCGTCGCCGCCGCCGGGGACGGGGCGAGCTTCAGAGCGCCGAGGATTGACATGGCCATGACGAGCTAGCTTCTGGCTGCCTGGCTGGCTGTTGTCGCGTTCTCTCTTTTTTGGGCTACATCGACGAGTTTATCCGCCTTATCTTTATCTGGTTGCCACGATGCTTGCTTGGCCAATCAGACGACTGCCACGATGGCCAGTTCTCCTCTTCTTCCATTTTTTTTCTCTTTCTATATAAATTTCGATGGATGAGTCTACTCATCACTGATCAGAACTCAAAAGCGTATTTTCAATTAAAAAGTTCAAACAAGTGTTCTTCCTCTGTTTAGTTTATATGTACTGTATAATAATAACATGGAATTTTTATTATTTCTGGCGTTCGTTGTACTGCCATGATTGAAGATGAATAGACGGAAGTTTTCTTGCCAAAAAAAAGTAACATGGAATTTTTGGTTGGTTTTTGCTCATAGTAGGTGGCGATAATCTCATGTGTCTGGTCCTGCGGAACTTGTTGTCGATAACTCGTGACAGAGAAGGGACTTGTCTTTGCCGCCTAAAACTTTTGTGCAGCCGGAAGCACAGAAGAATTTCTGAGGACTGATATTATGATCGAGAGAGATTTGACTTTGCACTGTTCAAAAAATCATCTCATTCAGTGATTTATCGTCCAATTTATCGCTACTCGGCGGTTGACCGATAAGATTATGCCTTATCTTCACCGTTTATGATTAGGACCGAATTATCGCTGTGATAAGCGATTTATCGAGAATCTACCGATAAATCGAGCCCATTCATAGTACTATGTTTATTTGTGTTTTGTGGACCTTGTTATGGAATATGTATTGTTGTCCTATTTCTTTTGTTATTATACGAGGATTCAAAGGCTATGAATCAAGGTAACATTTCATTCCAACATTGTTTTGGTGTTGAATATAGCATATTTTAGTGCTGAGAACATGGGATTTGCAAAAAATGGCCGATTAATAGTCGACCGATAAAATTGATTAGTTGGCTGATTTCTGATTAATCTCTAATCCTCAGCTCACCGACACGCTAACGATAAGCGATATCCTCAACATTGATTTGACATCATATTTTATGGTGAGTGGTGTGGCATCATATTCGAATAAGAGTTATTTACTTATAAATCTGATCATCTTATAGCTTGTCACCAATATTTAGTGCTACGATGATCTGAAGGAAGAAACCTAATCATGAGGATCTTTTCGAATCTTTTTGAATGTTCGAGAACTAACATATTGATAATACTGGAAGGTGGAGGCAAGCTGAACGTCACATGAATCGTGCGTCATAAAAGAGTGGCAAACAAGCATGTAATTAGCAGATGGTGTGTTGTTTTGGCCTGATCACATAGGCAACATTATTTATGCATTGCCATTTATGTTTTGCTAGATTATCTTTAGTAAGAATTACTCCCCTATGAACAAACCACATTTTTTTTAAATTGTACCTTTGTTTGTGTGATTTGAACGGAAGACTGGTCCAGAGTTGACCATATACCATGAAAAGCCCAGAAGGCATCAACTTCCAGTGGAATGTGTCTGGTTCATTAGCGAGGCTAATAGGTATCAACCATGAACTAATGTACCCACGCAGTCCAATTATCCCCGATTAGAGCTCTCATGAACTAGATATTCAATGGATTTGACCTTACATCGCTCTAACGTAGTCTTCCTTGCGCTGGACAATATTGTACAAAGAAGGGAATTGTCAAGCAAGGAGTATGTCCCCAAGCCAATATCCTCTCAGAACCTAGTTGTTCGGCCATCACCAATATGAAATCTTTCCCTGTTAAAAAAGCAACCTTAGTCTTCGTCAAACTCTTCTAGAAGGATGAATCAAACGGCTGGACAATGACTTGAGCCAATGTCTTTGAGTGTAAATTCTTGTTATGCAATAACAACAGCCACACTCCATCACCCTTCGAAATGAGAGGATAAAGCCATTTGCTAACGAACATTTATTTTTTATCTCAAGATTCTCGATCCCCAAACCCTCTTGGTCTTTAGGTCTACACAAAATAGCCCACCTCGCCAGGCGGTATTTGTCCTTACGTTTATCACTACCAAAAAAATATCAAGAACGATAGAAATCTAGTCTTTTTTTACCCCTATTGGTACTTCAAAAAATGAGAGCTTGAACGTAGGCAAACTCGTGAGTGCCGAGTTCACAAGGATTAGCCTGCCTCCATATGACATAATTTGACCCTTACAACAACTCAGTTTTGTCGAACCTATCCTCAATGCATTTCCATTCTTTATTGGTGATTTTCCTATGATGAATTCGGGTACCGAGATACATAGACGGTAAACTTCCAATTTCACACCCGAACAATTGTTTGTAATTTCTCTCATCACCTTTGGCGCGTCCAAAGCATAATGCTTCACTCTTATGAAAAATTATTTTAAGTCCAGACAATTTTTCATAAAGACATAACACCAATTCTATATTCACCACCTTATCTAGATCATGTTCCATAAAAATAATTGTGTCGTCAACATATTGTAAAATAGAGACTCCCCCCATCCACTGGATGTGGGATTGATCCATCTGAAGGAAATATGCCTTAGAGGCAATAATAAAGTTGTTACTTTATATTTCCTTATTTATGATAAAGATTTTTTTATTCATGCTAGAATTGTATTGATCAGAAACCTAAAATACATCTGTGAATACATAAACAATTATTGTGTCCCTGGTGAGCCTCTCCTAGACTAGCTCGTTGATCACATATGATTAAGGTTTCCTAAACATGGACATGTGTTGTCATTTGATAACGGGATCACATCATTAGGAGAATGATGTGATGGACAAGACCCATCTGTTAGCTTAGCATAATGATCGTTCAGTTACATCTGTGAATACATAAACAAATATTGTGCCCCTGGTGAGCCTCTACTAGACTAGCTCGTTGATCACATATGATTAAGGTTTCCTAAACATGGACATGTGTTGTCATTTGATAACGAGATCACATCATGAGGAGAATGATGTGATGGACAAGACCCATCCGTTAGCTTAGCCTAATGATCGTTCAGTTTATTGCTATTGTTTTCTTCATGTCAAATACATATTCCTTTGACTTTGAGATTATGCAACTCTTAGATACCAGAGGAAACCTTGTGTGCTATCAAACGTCACAACCTAGCTGGGTGATCATAAAGATTCTCTATAGGTATCTCCGAAGGTGTTTATTGAGTTGGCATAGATCGAGATTAGGATTTGTCACTCCGAGTATCAGAGAGGTCTCTAGGCCCTCTTGGTAATACACATCATAAGAAGCCTTGCAAGCAAATGACTAATGAGTTAGTTACGAGATGATGTATTATGGAATGAGTAAAAAGACTTGCCGGTAACGAGATTGAACTAGGTATGAAGATACCAACGATCAAATCTCAGGCAAGTAACATACCAATGGACAAAGGGAATTACGTATGTTGTCATAACGGTTCAACCGATAAAGATCTTCGCAGAATATGTAGGAGCCAATATGGGCATCCAGGTTCCGCTATTGGTTATTGACCGGAGAGGTGTCTCGGTCATGTCTACATAGTTCTCGAACCCATAGGGTCCGCACGCTTAACGTTCGTTGACGATATACTGATATATGAGTTATATGATTTGGTGACCGAATGTTATTTGTGAAGGAAATATTCCTCAGAAGCAATAAAAAAGTTTTTATTTTATATTTCCTTATTCATGATAAGTCTTTATTATTCATGCTAGAATTTTATTAATCGGAAACTTGATACATGTGTGAATACATAGACAACACACCATGTCCCTAGTATGCCTCTACTAGACTAGCTCGTTGATCAAATATGGTTAAGTTTCCTAGCCATGGACATGTGTTGTCATTTGATGAACGGGGTCACATCATTAGGAGAATGATGTGATGTACAAGTCCCATCCGTTAGCATAGTATAATGATCGTTCAGTTTTATTGCTACTGCTTTCTTCATATCAAATACATATTCCTCTGACTATGAGATTATGCAACTCCCGGACACCGGAGGAATGCCTTGTGTGCTATCAAACATCACAACGTAATTGGGTGATTGTAAAGATGCTCTACAGGTATCTCCGAAGGTGTTTGTTGGGTTGGCATAGATCAAGATTAGGATTTGTCACTCCGAGTATTGAGAGGTATCTCTGGGCCCTCTCGATAATGCATATCATATGAACTTGCAAGCAATGTGACTAATGAGTTAGTTGCGGGATGTTGCATTACGGAGCGAATAAAAAGACTTCCTGGTAACGAGATTGAACTAGGTATGAAGATAGCGACAATCGAATATCGGGAAAGTAACATACCGATGACAAAGGGAATAACGTATGTTGTCATAGCGGTCCGACCGATAAAGATCTTCATAGAATATGTGGGAACCAATATGAGCACCCAGGTTCCGCTATTGGTCATTGACCGGAGAGGTGTCTCGGTCATGTCTACATGGTTCTCGAACCCGTAGGGTCCGCACGCTTAACGTTCGATGACGATATGTATTATATGAGTTATGTGTTTTCGTGACCGAAGGTTGCTCGGAGTCTCGGAAGAGATCACGGACAAGACGAGGAGTCTCGAAGTGGTCGAGAGGTAAAGATTGATATGTTGGAAGGTAGTATTCGGACACCGAAAGTGTTCTGGAATGTATC